GGCAGAAGTTGGGGCATATAAGCTCACTAAAACATCTGTGTTATGTGTATTTTACAATACTGGTTGACAATAGCCAGGAGCCACGTCATAGAGATCTAAAATCGAATGTCTGTCTTTATTTCCTATTGAACTTGATATCAGAAAAAAAGACCCAGTATGATTGGTTTTAAGTTTTAAGTTTTATGTACAGTAACTGTTAAGTACATGACATAATTTTTTGATAAGTTTAACTAGTAGTATCAGGCATATTATGATACATGACCGATGCTAAATTCCATGATAGTCACCGTGGTATTATGATATAAGTTTGTGTGAATGATTTAGGTATGGCATCAGATGTTCTTTGAAATTGTTCAACCTTCGTATTGTGGGTGCTCTTATATTAATATTCTTTGTTAAAGGTGTTTTTTATTTGTTTAATTATTCCTCTCGGTAGAGCCTCCTGCTTTTGAAGTTGTGCCATCTCTGAAGAGGTTGAAACAACGTGTGCTTGCAGCTAATCCGTAGAGTATAATGTTGTTTTCATGTACTTTGGATTACCATCAAAACTACACTCTCCAGACTAGTTTACACAACTACATTAAGTGTGGTGATCTTCCACTTGGATTGTCATCAAAATTTTAGTAGTGAAGGAGAGTACTTTGGGGTAGTGTATTGTATTTATCACTGCTCTAGATAAAATTGTTAACTGCTTTCTCTTCTTCAACTAGACAATGTAGTTAGTAACTTAATTAGCCAGGAGACTGAATTCATGCATTGCGTCGAGGTAAATATGAAGTTGAGAATTTCTTAATATTATTAACGATGTTGAGAATTTCTTACGATTATTAACGACGGACTATATACATGCTTTATGAGAGGTTGATTGGAAGGAATTAAGAAAGATCTAATGATATAGTTAACTTAACCGAGGAGATTAATCATAATGGAATGTAATTGAAGAATAGTGATATAATTAACTTAACCGAGGAGATTAATCACTAGGAGATTAACTTTTGCAAAGACATTGTATGCTCAGTGCTTGTGGAGTGACATTCATATGATCAAAGTGAAATAATATTTTTCTCCTTTTGCTTGTTGATTTCTGACATTCATTCTCCAACTAACAAACAGAAGAGTGTTGTACAGAAACCATGACCTAACCAGCTGCAATTCACTAGTGAAAGTGATGTGATATTTTGACATGTGCACAATATATCAGCGATCATTTTGTTTGCCAAAAAAAAAACATAAATCACAAATTGGCTACGCAGAAGAAGAGATGATCCAAATTGCCCCCTTTGAAACTTTTACTTACATTCAGGTACACTGAGTTTTCTGTTATTACACATGTGACCTCGGAGTTTGTGATTCTATACGAGTAAACATGAGACTACTAATCATAACTAGAATATTTTGTATAATACCAAATTGTCATTTTAGCATTATTTCAAAAAAGATATTAATTCCTCGTGTCTCAATTAAATTACATATTAGCGCTTCAAACCTTTGAAATTGCTTAGAAGGTAAATAACGCGAAAAATATATTAATGAGGTGATTAGTTATAAATTTTCAGTAAGGGTGAAAGTGGTATTTTTTAAAAAATAATAAGATTAATCTCCTTAGCCCTTCTTCATTTGCCAAACACAAAAGACGTAACCCCTTGTCTTAACTATCGAATCCAAACAGAATAAGATTATTTTTAACCCTTCACGATGGATTAACTAAGTTAACCCTTCTCCTTAATGCATCTTCCTTGACCCTTTGCCAAACGCAGCCTAAGGGGGTAAACAAGAAAATAAAACAAATATCTACACAATCAATTTATAACCCTACAATTCTTTCTAATCTCTCCATCACTTCCAGTGAGCACCCCAATCTTACCCATCTTTACCATCGCCTGAGAGAACTTGCTCTTCCAAAGGCCCCCATTAAACGCGTTCGCCCTCACTTGGCTTGACGTCCCGCTATCCGATCCTAAACTCTGGTCGGAGGTGAAAAGCCCACGATTGGCGATGATGTTGTTGTAGTAGCTGGCGTCAAAGCGCGTAGGTGATCCGGGGTCCATTGGAACAACGAGGCTCGTGTCATTGCTCCCTTGTGGGCATTGACGCTTAAGGAATGCGGCATATGTTGGGTCGAGGGTTGGGTCTTGGCTCACAGTTGAGTTGAAACTGTAGAGCCTGTTACTGAATGATGTACAGTGAGACCGACCAAGTGTATGTGCACCTGTGTGCATATGTAAACGTAACCATAATTAGTAACGGATCATAAAATCTTTGTGGGGGAATTTGATGAAGTACTTAAAAAATACTATTTTATCTTTTTTTTTAGCGAATGGATATCTTTTGTAACTGAGCATGAATTTTCACATTTTCCTTGGTGCATGACAAGTTAAAGCTGAATTTTCCTTGCTACATGACAAGTCACGGTTGAAGGTTCTAATTTGGATATTAAATAAAAAACTTTCATGTGAGCTTTATTGCGAACAAAATTCGATGTGTTATAACAAATTCATTTATAAAAGTCATCGCGTATTTCATTTGCTTTTCTTTTCAGTAATTACCAGAAAGTGTGACCATCTCATCTTGAGTGAGCCCCTTATTGGCAAAGCTTTGAGTGAGTTGGCTGACACCAAGGCTCGGACCAGGGAGATTGGTGAAGGTGTCTGAAGACAAAGAAACTCTTCCATCTCTTCTTCCAGCTGGCACCTGATATCTAAATCCACCAGTCTACACAGTAATTACCAAATTAAGAAATTATTAGTACTATAGGGACAATAAAATCTTCAAAATTTGTACGAGATAGATATAAGACCCCTTATATGAGTTGAGAATAAGACATGTACTACATATATAGTTTAAACATTTGGATTAATTTGATTCATCTAAGGCTCGATTTATTCCTGAAAATTTTAAAAGGCAATTTGTAGGCTTACCCAAGCAACGCTGTCTCTAGCAGCGAAAGCAAGTATATCAGCACAAGACACAACTCCGCTACATGCAGCCTCGAGTCTAGTCTTTGCGTTGTCGATCACTTCAAAACCTCGAAGGCTGGGATTATTGATTGGAGAGTCTTTTTCTGCGGTGTTCGATGACGTTGAGTCAATGAGAACAGACCCGTCGCATCCCTACAAAACCACAATGCTTAAATTGGTTAGCAAAAGGAATTGTACCACAATCTTCTTATCTCGTACATATATATATATATATATATATATATGTGTCACTTCGCCTAAATGTGAAGGTTGACCCACGAAATTAAACATTCCATAAAGCTAGGATTGATGCTTTGCATCTATATGATCTAAAAACTTAAGAGCGTATTAGCTAGTTTTATAAATAAAGAAATGATTAGCTGTAACAGTTCCAAAGCGCACACTAGTTTTTATAAACTATTCTTCACTGATCATGCATTCTCATATTATTTTACGCGTTCAGAACGTTGTATTGAAAGGTACGAAAATTGTTGAATTTATACATGCAACTAACTTATATATGCATGTACGTTGTGAATTACGCTTATTGATATAAACCACTAGATGGCTAAAACACTTTAAAGTACTATTTCTTCAATATTTGTGAAGTTTTCTCACCCTAACAAAACAATCATGAAAGTGCATCCTCACAAGCCCAGCACCAAGACCGGCATTACCACTAAGCGCCCGCTGCACCTCACTCCTCACAATGAACTCAGCTTGAGGACATGTGTTTGCGTAGAACCCTACTTGAAGCTGAGCCTTGAGCCTAACACTCAAGCTCAGAATCACAACCAGAGCAATCGTCACTTCTCTCTGTAACCTCATTCTTCTCTCTCTCTCTCTCTCTCTCTCTCTCTCTCTCTCTCTCTCTAACTCTCTAACTCGATATTATACCCAAATGATATTATCTCCACAAATATTGCCTTGAGCACAATAAACCTTACTCAATAACTATTTATACACTTGAAAACTAGCTAACGCAGTTTGCATGGTGGTGGGCTCACACGCATTTGAATGTTATAATCGAGACGAGTTCAGCTCCGATTGCATTATTTAACTTGTAGAGATCAAAACGGGCACATCCACTTGAGTTGATGCCAACCAAGATTCAAGTTGAACTCCACGAATAGATAATTAGAGAGGAAATGAAGTATTTGCAAATAGATAAAATTTGATTGTAACTTTTAGCACACGATATTTGACTAAATGAGCACGGAGAGTCACGGGTTTTGGTGGCTTATTTGAAGTCCCGGGCAAGGGGACTGAGTAGGGGGAGACTTGAAGAGAGAATGGACAAAACTTGTGGGGTTCGTTCGGACCTATTTAGGCAATACTGCGTCCGCAAACTTTGACTTGCAAAGAGAAGAGGTTTATACTGTACATGGCATTGAACAATTCTAAAGCCAACCAAAAATAATGTTGAGTTCGTGATGACTCAAATCAGTTAAGAAGCAGGATTGGGTTTGGACTCTAATTAGGATTAGTTATACTATTCTAATTAGAACTTGATTGACGGAATTAATTGAATTGGAAAATCCAATTAGGATTTAAGTTAGAGTTCTAATAGGATTGAGGAAAATAAATCTCTATATATATTGTATCAATCCATGGGTTTAGCAACAAGAAAAAAGAGAGATCTATATTCCACCGTCGTTAGGGGTGTGTAGTTTCAATCTCTTGTAAACTCTTCTCAAAAGAAATAAGATCTTCCCCATTCTCCCCGTGGATGTACACAGATCATCTTGATCACGTTAAATATTGTTGTTTACTGTTTGTCTTGATTGCTTGGTAGATTTGGGGTTTCTTGATTGTTTAAGTTTTATCTTCCGCGGCTTACGTACTACAACAATTGGTATCAGAGCTACTATGGCGATCAAGACGACAGCGACCAAGTTTAAGGTGGAAAAATTTGACTAAAAGTTATATTTTCTCTTGTGGAAGATGCGCATCACGACATTACTCGTGAAGGAAGGGGTCCACTGATCTCTAGACGGTTTTGAGAAGAAGTCATCCACTTTGGATGAAGATGAGTGGAAAAATATGGATGTCTACACGTACAAAGGCTACGATTATCCTATGCTTGTCAGATGAGGTGCTCTACAACGTTATGAACGAGAGCATGACTGTAGCTATGTGGTGCATGTTGGAAAGCTTGTATATGATGAAAAGTTTGTCAAATAAACTCTTCAAAAAGAAGTAGCTCTATGAATTTCGGATGAAGGAAGGTACGCCTATTCTGCAACACTTGAACATCTTCAATAGAATTATTGGCGATTTGTTGGCTCTTTAGGTGAAGCTAGAAGAAGAAGATCAAGGTCTTCTGTTGCTGTGTTCACTTCCTCTCAGCTACAATCACTTGGCGACTACCATCAGGTATGGGAAGGAGACTTTAGAGTTGGAGGATGTCATCTCGGTGCTTCAGAATAATGAACTCATCAGGAAGACGGACACCATGGAGGAATCTTTAGGTCTAGTGACCAATGTAAAGAAAGGGAAGTCGAAGGTCAAGGAGCCGGTCAAAGCTCAATGAAATTCTAGTTATGTCGTCTGTTTTTGGTGCAAACGACCATGTCACTTCAAGAAGGATTGCAAGTCGTACAAGAAGTACTTGAAGAAACAGGATGGTAGGACTGATAGCACTAAGGGTTAGGATAACCATACGGGTGTCGTAGAAGATCTTTGTGATGTATTGACTGTGAAGTCAGATACGGGCAAGTATACTAATGATTGGTTACTTGATTTAGGATGCACATATCACATGTACCTAAGGAGGGAGTGGTTCAGCACTTACATGCCTATTTCTGGAGGAATAGTTCTCAAGGGGAATAATGCTATGTCGGATTGTTGGCATTAGGAACGTCAGGATGAATATGCACGATGGACAGGAAAGGACTCTCTCCAATGTTCGGTATGTTCCGGACTTAAAGAAAAATCTTCTTTCGCTGGAAGCTCTTGAGGCTCAAGGGTGCAAGTTCAGTGGTGAAGGTAGAGCTATCACAGTCACTAGGGGCCTTACTGTTGTTCTGAAAGGGGAGCGCACAAGGAACTTGTACAGACTGGTAGGAAGCGTCATTGAGGGTGAGGTTTCAGCCACAGCAGAGAAGACTGATCGGTTGCGACTTTGGCACATGCGTCTAGGACACATGAGTGGAAGGGGTCTACAAGTACTCCACAGAAAGGGCGTGCTTTCAAGAATAACTCAATGCAAACTTAACTTTTGTAAGTATTGTGTTATGGGAAAGCAGCGTAGAGTATCTTTCTCTACTTCGCAGCATAAGTCTAAGGGGTTACAGAGCTATTCCTGAAAGCACGCCCTTGCCGTGGAATACTTGTAGACCCCTTTCACTCATGTGTCCTAGACGCATGTGCAAATGTCTCGATCGATCAATCTTCTCTACTGCGGCTAAAACCTCGCCCTCAATGACGCTTCCTACCAGTCTGTACAAGTTTCTCATGTACTCCTCTTTCAGAATAGCAATAGCGCCCTTGGTGACTGTGATAGCTCTACCTTTACCACTGAACTTGCACCCTTGAGCCTCAAGAGCTCCCAGCGAAAGAAGATTTTTCTTTAAGTCTGGAACATAGTGAACATTAGAGAGAGTCCTTTCTTGTTCATCGTGCATCTTCATCCTGACGTTCCTAATGACAACAATTCGACACACTGCATCATTACCCATGAGAACCGATCCTCCAGAAACAGACCTGTAAGTGATGAACCACTCCCTCCTTGGGCACATGTGATATGTTCATCCTGAATCAAGTAACCAATCATTGGTATACTTGCCCGTACCTGACTCTGCAGTCAGTACTTCATAGAGATCTTCTACGACACAAGCATGGTTATCCTTACCCTTAGTGTTGTCAGTCTCACCATCCTCTTTCTTCAAGTACTCCTTGTACAACTTGCAATTCTTCTTGAAGTGACCTGGTCGTTTGCACTAAAAATAGAAAACAGAACAAAAATTTCCTTGAGCCTTGTTCAGCTTCTTGCCCTTCGACTTCCCTTTCTTTACATTGGCCACTAGACCTAAAGATTCCTCCATGGTGTCCGTCTTCTTGATGAGTTCATTATTATGAAGCATCGAGATGACATCCTCCAACTCCAAAGTCTCCTTCTCATACATGATGGTAGTCGACAAAATACAACATTGCCGACGAAACAAAAACGTCGGCAAATGTTTAAAAAACGTCGGGAAAAATATTTCCCGACGAAAAATACAGCATCGCTAACGCGTCGCCAAAAGTGCGTCAAGGAATGTATTTGGCGACGCAAATACACTGCGTCGCCAAAAGTACACTTTTGGCGACGCGACATGCGTCGGGAAAAGTACATCTTTTAGCGACGCATATTATTGTGCGTCGGTAAAAGCATGCTAAATTTTTCCATATGTGTAATGGCGTCGGGAAATCTTGCACTTTTGGCGACGTACTCAACGTCGGCAAAGGGCAATGCGTCGGTAAAAATATACTTTTAGCGACGCGGAACGGAGCGTCGCTAAAAAGCTTATCTTTGGTGACGCATGATTTGCGTCAGCAAAAGTGTAGCTTTTAGCGACGCAGAATAAAGCGTCGCTAAAAGCTACACTTTTGCCGACGCAAATCATGCGTCGCCAAAGATAAGCTTTTTAGCGACGCTCCGTTCCACGTCGCTAAAAGTATATTTTTACCGACGCAAGATTGCGTCGCCAAAAGATATTACTTTTATTGAAATATAACGTCGGCAAAAGTGTTACTTTTATTGACGCTTATCAACACTAATTTGCATCGCTAAAAATAATATATTTTCTATCAAATACAAGCTTACACTGAATCTGAACATCCACAAAAAATTTGATCCCATTCACATCAACATAAAAGTCTATTTTTTTCATTTCCCCTTGAGCGCTAAAAACGTTAATTTACAAACTTCCTCTTTCATATCCAAGTACATAAAGTCTCTCAAAAACATATTACATCAAGAAAACTAGAAACAACAATATCAAATTTGTATCATTAATTACAAAGAACAAATGGATTTGAGGAAGAACATGGCCCAGTTTAGATAGTGCATCTGCAACAGTGTTGGCCTCTCGCATACAGTGTAGGACAGGAACTTGGTAGGAATGTCAGAAGCCCCATCAGCCTGACCACATTTGTTATATCGGCTGGACCAACCAAGCAGAAAAACCAAGGATACATCATTTGTCCTCTGAAGTATGTGGTTCCGTCTCTTGTATATTTGTCTTCGTTGTCGGCCTCCATGGATCCTCCTCCTTGTATCTGAGATACTGATGCTTCTATTTCTGTGAAATTTTATGAGCAAATCACCAAATAATACCAAAAGTAAATTGTACACTGCAACAATCACAGAGCACTTGCAATAGCAGCTTTGCCTGCTTTGCATGGTGAACTTAGTACAATTCAGTAATAAATCGATTACTCAAATGATATTCATGATCTCAGAAGGAAAGAACTTAGTACATATTTAATCTTTAGCTGCTTTCTACAGTGATGCTCTTCCTAGTTTTGCGAAATATAGTCAGTAACTAACCAAACAATACCGAGAATTGCACGGTGCGTACAACAATAACAGAGGCACAGAGCTTTTACAAGTTGCATCATGGCTTGTTTTTACAGGGTGAAGAGCTGCTAGTGACTGATGATAGTAAAGAATAAGTGTCAATTCATGAAACCAATTGGGCAAATCATATTCATAATCATGATCTCTAAATGAATAATTTAAAATCTATATTGCTTGGTACACTACAAACAGCTTGACCATTTCATTTTTCTTTTTCAACAATGAATAAGTCAAGATATATAAAACTATAACAAGCTGAATGACTTCCAAAATGAAAAATAAGGATATATATATACGAGTTTATAAGCTACCTCTCACAAGAGAGACAAGAGATGGACGTGCAAACTCTTGGTAGCAGATGTGGGGAATTGCACATAATGAAATGAAATGAAATGAAGCTAATGTGGGGAATGCGACAAATGATGCGATCACTATCTCAGTTCTGATGTTCTTCACATAATGAAATGAAATTCATGAATTTCATGTATCCTTGATTCTAAGAATTGTGAAGTTACCAACTTTGTCCGGACATGAAGCTAATGTGGGGAATTGCACATATGAAGAAAGCTTTAGCCTGCATTTCATCACTTTTAATTGTTTTCAAATACTTCGTGTTATACAAAATAAGTAAACTAATTAGTGAACATATATTGTAATTTCATTAAATGAGTGTACTGAGGAAAAGCTTGAACAACTAAACAAGGAAAATTATTCTACTTCATATCTAAAGTAGAATAATTTATTTTGGTAACATGCTCAATATTTGCAGAAAATATTTTAGAAACCGTGCTTTGCACGTATCTAAATACTAGTAAGTCTAATAATGAAAAATTAAATGCAAGTCTGACCTCATCTACATGAGAAATCTCTACTACCACCGCTCGCTGCAGGCTGGCTACGTGCCAATAACTAATGCACTAAAGCCTCAAGATCAGCAGTCTTCTGGGCTTGTACGTTCATCTGCTCAGCTTGTGTGTTCATCTGCTCAGCTTGTGCATTCATCTGCTCGGCTTGTGAGGCAATCTGTTCGGCTTGTGAGGCAATCTGTTCGGCTTGCACAGCTACTGTCTCCTTTAAAGCCACGACCTCAGCATCTCACTCAGCTGACTTTTGCAAGAGACCTGGTAGATGAACTCCCTCGAAGGTGGATCCCATACCCCTTCAGGTAACCTGGCCTCCTTCCAAGTACCTCAATGGAGATCTCAAACTCATTCATCGGGGATGTAACTTCGGGCTGAGATTGTTCGATAGTCTTGTTGACTAATCGCTCCTGTCATTTTTAAAGATGTAAAATCCATATCATTAATGAATAGATATAAGTTTTTTTATAGATTGATTTAACAAAAGTAAATTTATAAGTTTTTTATAGATTGATTTAACAAAAGTAAATTGGACATACGTACATAGGTATCTTGTGCTTTCTCGTTTACCCATACTTTCCTTTTTTTTTGGTAGGGGTTTCCTTGTAAAATTCCGGAAAAGAGGGAGCTTGCCCATCATTTTTTGATTTCTGTAATTTAATAAATTTATCATTATGGTTGTTAATAACTATTTATAGTCTATTTATTTAAAAAGTAAAAACTTATAAAGCAAAACTTACGATTAGTAACATCGCTGCTGCAAATGATCGGGAACCAGATATATGATTGTAGGGCAACTTTGATCGACTCACCTTCGCTTTATCAGATTTTGTCTAATGACCAATATAAAATATATTATTAAAATATATAACAACAGGATTCCAAAATTAACATGACAATTTAATAAAGTGATTTGAGATCTATACCTTCCATTCTTCAGTTTCCCACACATCGATCATCGATACCCAATCATTAGGCTCCACACGCTTCGGTGGATGGTTCTTGGGATCAGGTACTCCCTTCTCTATTAAACCAAGATAATAGGCGTGCAACTCATGCTTCCAATTTCTATATATACTCCGACACTTTTTCTTTATGGAATCTTGGATGACTAGGTCGTTCTCATAGTCCCCGACATCAAATCTTTGCTACATGTACAGTTAAGCATGAATATACATATAAGCATTAATATATCTTTGCTACAAGTACAGTTAAGCATGAATATTCATCATCCCCTTGCTTCAACAAGAAAAAAGGAATGCAAAAAGGTAAAACAAAGTGTAAATGTTCAAATTCGAATCTTAAATCTGATAAGATTTGAACACCAAGTATCTTTGCACTTCATAACAAGACAAATATATATATTAGATACCAACGACCCTTAACATCAATGACTTTTGGGAGAAATAATATACAGCTGACAGCCATTTTAACCTTGCACCCGTAGAGAATCAAGATAATAGAGATCAAGCCAAGCAAATGGATTGTATTATTATTATTATTAGTATTATTAAGGAGTTGGTTTTATCTAATTATTATTATGTATCCACCATTTGATGTTTCCAATAACAATGAAAGGCTTGTACAGCGTCGAAAGAACAAAAACATGATTCCAGAAGAAATAGAAAGATTGTATGTGGATGTCATTTGTCTATAATGAACTCATGAGGCCAAGTTTACTGGATAAAAGAAATCCTGAGTGGCGCAAATAAGAAACAAACAAAGCTATCTAAAAGCTACATCAAATGATGTGAACAGGTCACCAGTTAGATGTTATTATACCACTATCATAAATTGGTCTGGTAATAATAACAACAACAATGATGATGAGGCCTCATTCCCTCTCAAATGAACATCTGAATCAATTGCACCACTATTGTTCGTCTAAACAACTGGTCTTAAACTTGACCACCTCCATTTGCAATCGGGGTAAAGAACGTTTAACCAAATAATTGACCGATGCATAATACAAAAGGCGTAAACTAAATGATGGATACTGTTTTGTGCATTGGTCTAGATTATCTCAGAACAGGCTAGATGTTGAAGAATCTAGGCCCAGATTCATACTCCCCCTCCGGATAACACTGTAAATACCGGATAACAGCAACATGATTAAAGAATGATTAAAAAAATACCCGAACTCTCGTAATGATCGCCTCTCGAATCCCAGCATCAATATTGTCCCAACCACAATTGCGAACCGGTGCAGATGTTCGGATCTCCTTACCAATCTCATTCGCGAGGGATGTCGCATGCTCCCCCTCCGGTGCTCCACTCGAGGAAGGGATCGGAACTGAAATCGCATGACCCAATTGTCTCACCAATCTCTCTGTCCCCTTCCCTCGTGTTGCACCGCGTACATTTCTACGGGCCGATGGTACCGATCCTACATAAAATGCAAAGTTAATTGAATTAAATTTTATATCTAATATAAAGGAAAGGTGAATCTGATATGTAAATAATGATATATTAATACCTACGCTGCTCCCGATCGTTTGAGGGCTTTCTAGTTGGTCGGGTTGGGCAATTGATGATGGCTCGGGGTAGGGCAGCTCGCTACGGGTACACTGGGGTGGCTGGTTCGAAGCAACCAAAATCCTCATCTCGGGCACAGAAGTCGATGGTGTAACATTTTTGGACCTGCGTCCTGGAGCCATACGTGTTACCTGTTATAATTGAGTAAAATGAATTATTAGTACACATAATGAAAAGAAATTAATAACAAATAATAATAAGTAATGATAAGGACAAGTAATTACAAGTAACAATTAATGACAATACACAAATAGATATTACCTCTTCTAAATCATCATTGTCATCTTCACTCGATGAGCTAAGCAAATTATCATCCATAGACGGTTGGTACTCATCATCATCCTCACAAACCTTTTTTTTACTACCTTTACTTTTCCTCTCATGCATTGGCAACGTCCTGGAAATTGTTTGTGAAAGTGGTGGTATTCCCAAAGCTCTCATTCTTTCTATATTCTCATCTAAACAGTAAACTTGGATTTCTTGATTGATTGAGAAGAAGAGCAGCAATGGGGTATATATAGCACCCCATTACAACAGCTAAAAATAAGAAAAAGACCAAAAAGCCCATTTGAAAAACTAGCCGTTAGGCTCAGTTTGTCAGCTCTTCGGTCGACCGGTACGGTCGACCGATTAGTTCAAAAACCCTGAGAAAACATGTTTTGAGGCTGACGGTCGACCGACGCAAATTTCGGTCGACCGAATGGAAATTTCGGTCGACCGACGTAAATTCCGGTCGACCGGAAAAACATTAGAAAGTTTCTCAGAAACCAGACAGCCGTCGGTCGACCGTATCGGTCGACCGAAATCTGACATGGGCAGAAAACAGGTTTTGGGCAGTTTTTGGAAATTCGTTAAAAATATCAATTCATATCCAAAAATAGTGAAACTTTGGGGAAAGTTTATAAATGATGAAATGAACATGTTTGAAAAGGAATTTTTGGAAAAACAAATTTCGTTTGTGAAAACTACCTGTTTTTGAAAAATGCTTAGAAAACCTGTATTTTTATGAAAGTGAAATTTGAAATAGGACTTGTAAATATTCATATATGTATTGTGCATAAATTATATGTATATAGCAAAGCGTGAGAGAGCTGTAAACAAGAGATAAAGATATTTTAACAATGTTTTAAGAAAAATCATCTATATGATATAAAACGTCAAAAATCGTGTTAAGTGTATATATATTGAGCTTAGATATCATCATACCATATATGTAAGTAAACTAAACAAGTACCTAGGTAAATCCACGCAGATGAACTTGAATCTTTAACGTTGTGTTGAAATACCTGAAAAGAGAACATAAACACAAAACACTGGAAAAACTTATTAGTAATAAATTGTTTGTCAAATCATCATCAAAACTATAGGGTCAACAATCTCCCCCTTTTTGATGATGGCAAACAATTTATACAAGAGTATGAAGAATGCACTGATAATCCACATATAAGCCAAAACAAGAATAAGTTATACATGACCATATGTAAAAGTCATATATGACCATATATAACAGAAATTAATTTGTAACCTATAAGTGGTATTTTCTCCCCCTTTGACAACATCAAAAAGAGGGAAAAATGAAAGATAGGAGCAATGCTCCCCCTGTTTATTAGCATAGATAAAAGAAGTAAAGAAATTTATGTCAAAAAACTCCCCCTGTCAAATAGACTAGATGACATACAGGAGCTAAACTGACAACGATCCACCAACCGTATGCATAATAAAAAATATGTAAGAAACAAAACATGGGTATTATCTTAACCATGCATTGATCACAAAATGAGAAACTGGCATAAGCAATTTACAAATCATCATTTAGGCATCACAAAAATGATAAACCATGCATTGATGCATAAAAAAGGAAAAACTTAAATATCACATAGGCAACTTATGATAAGCAACTATTTGCTGCACACCAAAACATGAGTGTTGTTTCAACAAAGCAGTGATTCATAAAAGAAATAAACTGAACATGATGAATCACAAATAACATCATATAGACATTAAAGGCAGCATACATATAGGTTGTCCACGGAATAGTGAGTCATACATAAAACGTCACACAAAACCATACATAGTTGTTCCACAAAGCACCAAAGCATCATAGAGTTATACACTCAAATAAAAACAGAGTTATCAAGTTTTACAACCCAGTAGAGAGCATCAAAGACAAACAACATATAAAGAAACTCAATTAGTCATCACCTCCTCCAACATCATCATGATCACCATCATCACTACCATTATCATCACCATCTCCACTACCATCATCATCTGAGCCACCAGCAGAATCCTCACTAGAATCAGACTCAGACTTTGAAGGGATCCCGAGAGACTGACGCTGGTATGAAAGAATAGTCCTAACATCCTTCTGAATAGATGTGACACGAGTCTCAAGGCGATCAAGACGGTCACAAATCTCAGAAGTGGAAGAAGTGGAAGAGGTCGAGGCTCTAGAACGGGAGTGAGAAGATGGTGTGGAGTCAAGAGATATTTGCATTCTGGAAAGGGAAACTTTATCAAAGAAATCTCTTGTGGATTCAACCTTAGGTTCATTTGTAAGGTCAACATTGAAATGTTGAAAAATGAGAGTGAAAAAGGAACCAAAGGGTAGAAACTTGGTGTGTTTAGATGCCATGTTATTGATAAAGATAGTAGCCCAATCAACTTTGATTTTAGCAAAGATGGCATAAACAGCATTAATCTTGTCGGAGGCGAAGTGATCAAAACTTCCAGTCTTAGGAATCAAATTTTGAGCAACAATTCGGGCAATGAGTCTAGCAATGGGATTCAGAGAATTGTTGTTCATTGGATATGAGCATCCGGGCGTAAACATGAGTGGGTTAACATCTGGATTACCAACATCAACAGACATGAGATGAATGTCACTTGTTGGGATATTAAGAATCCCCGCAAGTTCGTTGGCAGAGAAGGTAATTTCAACATTTTTTACTGATGATGTAATGGTTAAACTACCATCAGCAGAAGATGTTGTGGACAGGTTTGCATAAAACAGATAAACAAGAAATGGATAATAAGGAACTTTAAGACTTTCATCAAACAATATATCCAACCCAACATTATGAAGAATAGACTGAGTGTTATAGATGGCCAGTTCAGGATACTTGATATACCTAGTTGGGAGAATCTTTAGTTTACACAGTTCCCTATATTTCCTAACAAGAGGTTTAAACAGCAAATAATCCTCATAATGTGAGGCTTTTACAGAGGAAGAACTAGATTCGGGTTTGGACCTCTTTTTAGGGGGCTTGGGAGGCATGATTAGTTAGGGTTTTGAAAAGATTAGAGAGATTTTTCAATATCCTGTAAACAAAAACCAATATAGACTAAGTTAACAAAAAGCCCTAGAATTAAAAACCCTAGATGAGAGAGTAGATGTAAGAACTCAGAAATCAAAAAGTGAGGGAAGAAGTTACCCATAAAACAGATGAGAGACAGCGGTCGAATCGAAGCGGGCGACCGAAAACAGAAATTGAAGAAACCCTAGATTTCGATTTCAGAAAGGGAGGAAGAAGAGGGATCGGGTGTTTTGAGAGATGAGCCAGCGGTGGAGATTGATAGGATGGTAGATCAAGGGTAATGAAGAGTTCGGGTCTAAACAAATACCCAATAAAAACCGAAACCCATTAAAAAGAAAACCTCGCTGCTGTAGGAGTTTAAATTCGGTCGACCGACGCGGTCGACCGGAAAGCTTACAGATAACCGTCGGTCGACCGGGTCGGTCGACCGAAAGGAAATACAAGGCAGGTACACATAAAATTGGTTTTTGAGATGTTTTTCACTATAAACCCTTTTGGAAATATGTTTTGCTATCTACTAAAAGTTTTATAAGATATATATGAGTAATTTTTGTTTATTATAAATACATAAATAATTTATTTTGACATAAGGAATATGATTTGTCATTCAAAGCCCAAAAAAAAATTTTCAAAACAAAAACAAAACAAAAAAACAAATCATTAAAAAATACTATATAAGTCTTTTTGGTACCCATATCATTTTGGTACCACTAGAACTTGGGACATGACCCCTATCATTTAAATCCAAGGCCCTAGGGTTATGAACCCGTTTAGGCGTGTTTTGTGCACCAATACGATCAAAGCAAAAATTGTAAACGTGACCCATACGATTGCAATTTGTGCAATGTAGAGGTTTGAATGGTTTACGTTGACCGAAATGGAATGCACGTGGTTTATTTGCAAAAATAGATTTTCCTTTGTAATTATTTTGCAAGCAAAACTTTCTTTTCAAATCAAAGCAAAACATGGCCAAATGACCAACACGACCACAATAATCACATTTGTACACATAAGCATGTTTATGATTTACACTATGTGTGTGTACATGAGTATGTGATGATGAAGCTTGATGAGATGCACAATCATGTGTAGGCTTGTCAATTTTTGGTGCATTATGACAAAATTGAGCTAAATGGCCTTTAAGCCCGCAAGTAGAACATTTGTGAATTTTGTCATACATATGTGCATAGTGAATAGGTTTCTTGAAAGACTTAATATTAACCTTTGCACATAGGTCCATAAGCTTTTTATTATTAGCAATACAAGTATTTAGTGTTGAATCTAAGGTAGATATTCTTTTTCTCATTTGATTCAACTCATCATTGTGCATACAAGTATTGCTACTAGAAGTAGGATAAACAAGATTACTCATCATAGATTTTAACTTATCTACTTCTAACATAGCATCACGTTTTTCATGAAGCAAACTAGCATTTTCAATTTTCAAATTTTCATTGCATTCTTTAAGAATTAATTTGCAATAAAATTGAACTTAGTAGCTAGTGTTTCATGAATAGATTTTATATTAACATACTTACTTTTTACATCAATATAGCTATTGTGTAATTTTTCAAACTCAAGAGCAAGTTCATCAAAAGTAATAATATCATCGTTATCGCATACCTCACTAGGGTTACTACCTAGTGGTGTTGTACATGGGGATGAGGCTTCCTTAGAGCTCAAAGCGGGATTTTCCAACGCTTGTTGAATAGCCTCCAATTTTCCTTCATGTGCTTCAATAAGTTTCCATAAAGCATAAGCACTATCAAAATTAGCAAGTTTGTTAGAAAACGATGAGTGAAAAGCGCTAATCAAAAATCCTAGCAAAAGCTTGTTCATGTTAAACAATCTTTTATCATTGTCACACCATTTGGATTTTTCGAAGATGGGAATAACATAACCATCCTCAATAATTTCCCACAAATCAAATTGATTAGATTGAACGAAAAGTTTGAATCTAATGCGCCATTGAGCGTAGGGGAAAATATCCAAACGAGGAGCAATATTAATGGCATATCCTAAGCAAGATGAATCATTCATATCCATAGAGATGAAATGCAAGAAGCACAATTAATCAAAAACTGTTTAAAGGTTTGATCGTTCAATTTGTGGACCTCTCGTTCA